CTCTGGCCTTTTAGAAGATGTTTCTAAAAGTTACATTTAATGTCCTGTGATGTAACTAAAAGTTTGATTTTGCTATGATGATTGTTATCAAACACTCTAATTTTTTTTCTGAGGACATAGTTTATTCAAACTGTTTGAGGAGGTGACACGACACATTTCTTTGTTTTGTTGAATTTGAGGAGCTTTACTTACATTGCACATATATTATCCGTAGTTGCACTTGTTTTAGAAATTTTACTTCTCTTATACGACAGCTGGTTGAAATAATCAATTGTGATACACAATGTGTTCCGGAGTGGTTTCTTTAAAGTTAGAATGGTGTCATGCGATGAAATGATGCTTTTGATGTTTTTATGATAAATTGTTATCAGATACTTCAAATTTTTTTTCAAAGGACATGTTTTTATGTTTGTAACAGATAAACATTATTATATTATTACATTTGTCACATATTGGTTCAAGAAGGTGATGTTGCGTTTTCTGACTCTTTTTTTTTCTGCACAAATAATAATATAGGGGACTCTTTCACGTGGTATTTTATTCTTACACGAGTGGTTGTTTCTATCGTTGCATTTGATGTCCAGTGATGAAATTAAAAGATTGATTTTGCCATGATAATTCCTATCAAACACTCTAATTTTTTTCTGAGGACATATTTGGTATCTGTTTTTAAGCAGAACACATTGTTGCTGTATGGTGATATTTGGCATATGTTTGTTGCGACGTAGCAACTCATATCCCAGTCTGAGGAAAAAATGTATATTTTATGAGAAGATGTGCATATTTTTTTTATTTGAGTCACAAGACAATATTACTCTCATCTGTTTTGTGACGGTGAGTTCTTAATCGGAACCTGTTTCTTCTCTCACTACTTTTTCCTCCTTGTCTCACTCCATCTCTTAATTATTTTCTCAGCCACTCCCACTCACCCCCATCCCCTTTTTCTCCTTTTTAGTGCCTACCTCTTGTTTTCTTCTTCTACCCTTCCCCCGACATATGTACACAAAGTTACTTGTCATTCAATTAAAACTATTTCAGTAAAAGTTTGCTGAAACAATAATCAAAAGTTACATTTTGTGTCCGGTGATGAAATCAATCATTTGATTTTACTATGAAAATCTTTATCAAACACTCTAATTTTTTTCTGAGGACAAATAATTATTGCAAACTGCTTGATTGCTTACATATTAGCTGTTTGATTTGCATGTCAACGTCGGACTTCTAAGAATTTTGTATGGTTTTTTTTTAACAGATACAGCAGCATAATAAATATAGAGGGCTTTAAACTATATATAGAACCACTGAACCAGTCAAAATGTATTGAGGTGAATTATGGACAGTTAATTCATTAGTGACAAATTATGTAAATGTTACAAAGCTCTGGCCTTTAATAAGAATATGTTTCTAAAAGTTACATTTAATGTCCTGTGATGAAACTAAAATTTTGATTTTGCCATGATAATTGTTATCAAACACTCTAATTTTTTTTCTGAGGACATAGTTTATTCAGACTGCTGAAGGAGGCGACACAAATCTTTTGTTTTGTTTGAATATGAGGAGGGCTTTACTTACATTGCACATTAATTATCTGTATTTACACTTGTTTTAGCAGTTTTACTTCCTTCATGCGACAGCTGGTCGAAATAATTAAAAATGGTGAAATGCAGGGTGTTCTCGGGGCTGTCTTACTTAGGGGTGGTTTCCTTCAAGTTAGAATGGTGTCCTGCAATGAAATTTTGCTTTTGAAGTTTTTATGATAAATTGTTATGAGACACTAGGTTTTTCCCCGAAAGGACATGTTTTGGTTACGTTTGAAACAGGTAAAACAATGTTGCCTATTTAGATTTGTCACATATTGGTTCAAGAAGACTGTTTTCTGTCTCTTTTTCTGCACAAATAATAATATAGGGGAATCTTTCACTTGGTATTTTATTCTTATACGAGTGGTTGTTTCTATCGTTGCATTTGATGTCCAGTGATGAAATTAAAAGATTGATTTTGCCATGATAATTCCTATCAAACTCTATAATTTTTTTCTGAGGACATATTTGGTATATGTTTTTGAGCAGAAGACATTGTTGCTGTATGGTGATATTTGGCATATGTTTGTTGCGACGTAGCAACTCAAATCCCAGTCTTGGGGATAAAATGTGTATTTTGTGAGGTGTGCATATTTTTGTAATCTGTGGCAAAAGACAATATTACCCTATCTGTTTTGTGACGGTGAGTCCTTAATCCTGTTTCTTCTCTTACTCTTTTTTTCCTCCTTGTCTCACTGTCTCTTGCTGATTTTCTCAGCCACTCTCTTTCTTTCTCACTCCTGACACCTTTTTTTTTTAATGTCTACCTCTAGTTTTCTCCTACCTCGTCCCCACATATATACACAAAGTTACTTGGTCATTTAATTATTTCAGTAAAAGTTTGCTGAAACAATAATCAAAAGTGACATTTGGTGTCCTGTGATGAAATCAGTCATTTGATTCACTATGATAATGTTTATTAAACACTCTAATTTTTTTCTGAGGACATATAATTAATGCAAACTGCTGGATTGCTTACATAGTGGCTGTTTGATTTACTTGCTAATATTGGGTTTCTAAGGATTTTGTATGATTTTTAACGAATCTAGCAGCGTATTAAAATGAGATGTCTTAAAGCTACATATCAACCAGTCATAATGTACTGAGGTGAATTATGTAAATGTTACAGCGAGCTGACCTTTTAGAAGAATATGTTTCTAAAAGTTACATTTAATGTCCTGTGATGAAACTTTGAAAGTTTGATTTTGCTACGATAATTGTTATCAAACACTCTAATTTTTTTTCTGAGGACATACAGTTTCTTAAAACTGCTAAAATAAGCAACACATTCCTTTGTTTTGTTGAAAATGAGCAGGGACATTGCACATATCCTTAGTTGCACTTGTTTTAGCAGTTTTACCTCCTCTTTTTTGACAGATGGTCAAAATAATTTAAAATTGTGAGGACGCAGGTTTTTCTTGTAGCAGTTTTACCTCCTCTCCTCTTATTTGACAGATGGTCAAAATAATTTACAATTGTGAGGACGCAGGTTTTTCTTGTAGCAGTTTTACCTCCTCTCCTCTTATTAGACAGATGGTCAAAATAATTTACATTTGTGAGGACGCAGGTTTTTCTTGTAGCAGTTTTACCTCCTCTCCTCTTATTAGACAGATGGTCAAAATAATTTACAATTGTGAGGACGCAGGTTTTTCTTGTAGCAGTTTTACCTCCTCTTATACGGCAGATGGTCAAAATAATTTACAATTGTGAGGACGCAGGTTTTTCTTGTAGCAGTTTTACCTCCTCTTATTCAACAGATGGTCAAAATAATTTACAATTGTGAGGACGCAGGTTTTTCTTGTAGCAGTTTTACCTCCTCTCCTCTTATTAGACAGATGGTCAAAATAATTTAAAATTGTGTGGACGAAGGTTTTTCTTGTAGCAGTTTTACCTCCTCTTATTAGACAGATGGTCAAAATAATTTACAATTGTGTGGACGCAGGTTTTTCTTGTAGCAGTTTTACCTCCTCTTATACGGCAGATGGTCAAAATAATTTACAATTGTGAGGACGCAGGTTTTTCTTGTAGCAGTTTTACCTCCTCTTATTAGACAGATGGTCAAAATAATTTACAATTGTGTGGACGCAGGTTTTTCTTGTAGCAGTTTTACCTCCTCTTATTAGACAGATGGTCAAAATAATTTACAATTGTGAGGACGCAGGTTTTTCTTGTAGCAGTTTTACCTCCTCTTATACGGCAGATGGTCAAAATAATTTAAAATTGTGAGGACGCAGGTTTTTCTTGTAGCAGTTTTACTTAAGGGCAGTTTCATTAAAGTTAGTTTTGGTGTCCTGTAATCACATTTTGCTTTTGATGTTTTTTCCCCCTGAGGACATATTTTGGTTACGTTTGAAACATATGAAACAATATGTTGCCTTTTTTTTTTACATTTATCACATATTGGTTCAAGAAGGCTGTGTTGTGTTTTCTGTCTCTTTTTCTGCAGATTGCTTACGTATTGCCTGTTTGATTTGCTTGCCAATATCAGACTTCTAAGGATTTTGGATGTTTTTTAACGGATCTAGCAGAGAGGTCTTAAAGCCATCTAGTACTGTTGTGAATTATGGACAGTTAATTGATTAGTGGAAAATTATGTCAATGTTACAGCAAGCTGGCCTTTTAGATGAATATGTTTCTAAGTTACATTTAATGTCCTGTGATGAAACTAAAAGTTTGATTTTACTATGATGATTGTTATCAAACACTCTATTTTTTTTTCTGAGGACATACAGTTTATTCAAACTGCTGAAGCAGGCGACATATTCCTTTGTTTTGTTGAATTTGAGGAGGGGTTTTACTTACATTGCACATATATTATCCATAGTTGCACTTGTTTTACTTCTCTTTTACGGCAGCTGGTCAAAATAATCAAAAATTGTGATACGCAGGGTGTTCTCTGAACTGTCTTACTAAGGGGTGGTTTCTTTAGAGTTAGATTTGGTGTCCTGTGATGAAATTTTGCTTTTGATATTTGTATGATAAATGTGCCTATTTTTTCAAATCTGTGACACAAGAACATATTACCTTTTCTGTTCTGAGATGATGAGTTCACTATCTAGCCTGTTTCTTCTCTCTTTCCTTTTTTTTTTTTTTTTTTTTTTTTTTTTTGTTTGTTGTTGCTCCCTGTCTCACTCTGTCTCTTACTTATTTTCTTAGCCATTCTCTCTCTCTCTCTTCCATCTTTCTTTCTCCCCCCCCCCCCCCTTCCCCCTTTGTCTCTACCTCTCTTTCTTCTTCTTCTACCCTACCCCTACATTAGCCAGGCTATGATTGGAAACTTTGTTTCTGTGATGCCCATAGAGATGGGTCTTGGCCAGAATGTGCCTGGTCCTACAGCTCTGCATCTCACGCAGATTACACAAGACCCATGGGATAAGCTGTGTAATATATTATTCTTATTTGTGTGTGTGTGTATTGCAGAACCCCAGCAAGCCACATTTCAACCACTATCTGTTTGAGTGCCTTTGTGTGGCCATCAGATCTTCATGTAGGACACATCCTGAGGCTGTGGCAACATTTGAAGCAGTTCTCTTCCAGCCTTTTACAGAGATTCTTCAGCAGGATGTCCAAGGTGAGTTTTAGTAATGCAGACATAGCAGTCTCTCTCTACCTCAAGCCTGTAATATGCTAGTCACATGCTTTTTTTTTAGATCAGTCAGCACTCTCAGTAGGCAGAATATACCTGGTGAGGCCCTAAGTAACATCTTTCCTAGTCTGCAGTTGAACATGGTCATCATGAGAATTGAATGGGCGATGTAGTTAACATCACGCTGGCCCCCTTCGCTTCTCAGGTATTTACCTGTACACATTTAAGGCGGGGTCTCCCCTACTCTCCCCACTCCTTTTCTTCTAATTCACTGGCTGAAAGTTCTGGTTGCTCATCCACTTCTGGACTTTAGTCTTGTTCAAGAACCTGAGTTTTGTATGCACAGCCGTCTTACGGATCTCACATATTTATATCCTAAAGAGTAGCCAAACAGTGCTGGCCGGGTAAAATTTTGAGTTAAAAATCTACCCAAAATATTTCAGGAACCTTGCCGGTGCTACGGAGTTCGTGCATTGTGCTGAGATTCTTCTGTCTCAGGCTTAAGTTAGAAGTAGAACGGTGACTACCTTTGTGCCATGATGTTGATCCATTGTATAAACCAGAAACCAAACCAAATCATATATTGAGGTATTTATTGTTTGATATGAAGATGGGCACAGGACAAGAGACACCTTGGACTTTAAAGTGCATGAGGCGGGAGAGCTAGTGAGAAACCAGTTGATGTCCAGTGATGAAATTCAAAGTTTGATTTGCCATGATAATTCCTATCAAACACTCTAATTTTTTTCTGAGGACACATTTGGTATGCATTTTTGGAGCAGAAAACATTGTTGCTATACCGTAATATTTGGCATATGTTTGTTTTGACATAGTAACTCAGCTGTCAATTTAAGGATAACTGTTGTGCATTTTATGAGGGCATGTGCAAATTTTTCTGAGATGAGCAAGAGAAGAAACAGACTCAGATTAGGAATTCACCATCTCAAAATTACGGGTAATATGTTCTTGTGACAGTTGCTTCTCTCACTCCTTCTTTTTCTTCTGTGTCTCTGTCTCTTTCTCATTTTCTCAGCCAGTCTCTCTCCCCCTCTTTTTCAGTTTCTACTGCTCTTTTTCTATTTCTACCCACATATGTACAAAATGTTACTTGATCATTTGACTAAAACTATTTCAGTAAAGGTTTGCTGAAATAATAATCAAGTTACATTTGATGTCCTGTGATGAAAATCAAGCATTTGATTTTACCATGATAATTTGTATCAAACACTCTAATTTTTTTTCTGAGGACATATAATTACACATGTAATTACTGGGCTACGTGATGGCCATGATAATTTTTAGGGGGATCTTTTATAGTGCTGATAAATGTTTTCATCAATTGTTTCTAGCACTGCATTCTTCTGTTCATTTTTCAGAATTCATCCCCTACGTTTTTCAAATATTGTCCATGTTAATCGAGTTGCACCCTGGCAAGATCCCAGATACTTACATGGCCCTGTTTCCTCACCTTCTGGCACCAGTTCTGTGGGAGCGGCCAGGTAACATCCCACCTCTGGTGCGTCTGATTCAGGCTTACATTCATAAGGGCACTGACCAGATAGAGGCAGACAAACTGGTATGTATTTGATTTACTTATATTGTAAGAATACATAGTTACTGTGTTGTGATTTTTAGGATATGTTTGTTGTGATGTAGTAATTCAAGCTCCCAATCTGAGGATAAAATGTTATTTATTTTGTGAGAGGATGTGCATATTTTTCTGCATGATTATTGTAAGAATGTGTGCTCTGAAGGGTCTCTTGCCACATTTGTTCACTTCATCAAAAGATAAATGGCACCACAGGACCTCGGGTATCCCAGACTTTCAAAGCACAGATCTGACATGGCAGAAATCTGATGCAGGTAAAGGACAGGCCATCCTTCAGGTCCATTTAGAACAGACCGACAGGAAGATTAGGCAGCCAGACAGAGTTAAATTGACACTTTCACACTTGTGAGAAGGCAGAGCTAAGTGACGATTTCAGTATTACAACTGAGATAAGTTGAAAGAGTATAACAAACTGTAAAGTGGAAATTAACTTAAAGGACAATTTGTTAAAACAAAAAAGATCATGTTTTGTAACAAGGTTACAAGACTTGATTGCCTTACCGGTGCAAAACATTAACAACAGAACAATCAAAACAGTAGAAATGAAATGTCTGCGGTGAATCCTAAATGTAACTTGAAGTGACGAATTAGAAATGCAGAAATTAGGAAACAGGTTGGGGCAGAACCAATGCTAAACTATCCAGGCACAGCAGATCAAATTTTTTGGGGATATTTGCCGATACTTCTACCAGATAGTGCACCACAGAGAGGCGTATGTACCAGCATTTATGTAGCACATACCAAGGCTTGCACCCAATGCCTCTTCAAATCCTCTAGATGAAAGGCAAAAATAACTAGATGAGAATAATCAGTTTCTCGTGGCTGAAAGCAAGAGATATCACTGGTAAAGTAGAAATCAGAAAGAGACTAGGAATGGGACAAAAGTTAAAATCTACAGAGATGTTACCTCTGTGTTAAAAATTCACACTCAGTATTTGTTATTTCTGTGTTTTTTAGCATTTAAAAAATGAATATTCTTTTTCTCTTTTTTTTTCCTATGCCAGAATGGCCTGCTGGGTGTTTTCCAGAAACTGAATGCATCAAAGAACCACGACCATGAGGGTTTCTATTTACTGAACTATATTATTGAATTCATGCCAAAGTAAGCTTCTGTTTGTCTGTGTTCACCTTCCTTAACCCTATTAGACGTTTTTTGCACTTTACGTGCACTGGACAAATAGGGCTGAACTTAGTTGTTTTTTTTACTGCGGTGGTTCGTGTCCGCTATATTTTTAATTGCCATTTCCCCACATAGATGCCTGGGGGCATCCAGTGTAGCATTATACAAACAGATGAGCCTGTTTCATTTTCTTCCTATGTCATGGTTTATAAACTCTGCATCTCTAAGGACTATCAGCTCCACAGATCCCTGAGTTTTCTTCTTATGCCTTTAAATGTCAATGTGAATATGTCCAACATGCAAAAGAAGCAGAGTACTAATTTTGTTCTGGTAATCAAAGTCCCAGGTCTGCAGGACACTTACTGTTGGCTCCGAAAGATATGGCCTGTGATGGATGAGATGTTCAGAATATGGAAGAGATGTTAAAACAGTAATGAGCAGGACATGATGATTCCTTGTGTGAGCCCAGTACAAGAACACCATGTTATGGCTCTGCACTGATGGAAGCCTCCTTGGATGGCGGGGAATGCTCATGTTCTGCCCCTGCCTTCTCTTGAGGGCTGATCAGCATTATGGACTTCTCTGAACCGGCCTGATGTGGGGCACTACCTGTGACCTGGGAAACTAAGATTACCACACAACAATGAGACTGCAATGTCCCATGAAACTAACCGGGGAGACTAACCAGGTCAACAAATGCCCGCAGACCAAAAGGCGCAGACATCGCAGTCATGTTGTAAATGGGCACAAAATTACATCTTCGGGTGAACGCAGAAGAAGAAGAAGACTTATAGTTTTATAGACCGACTGGCACTTGGTGGGTAATATGGCTTTCAGGACACTAGTGCTTCCTTGGACATTAGCTGGTACCTACCAGTTTTAGGCTGCGAGATAAGTCAGTATCAAAAACACATCTGCTTTGCGAATTTGAACACGAGACATTTGAGATAGCAGGTATCCAGCCACCAAGTCTACTGCTGGCTGACTGTTAGTGAACTGTTATGTTTTGGTATAAATCATTCTTTATATAATTATGTTGTAGTAATTGTTTTGACACTCCTAATTTGTTTAGCAAGTCTGTTCTGATTATTTTTTTTAAAAAAAATTATATTGAAGACATATTTCTTTGAGTTACTGTCACATGGAGATTTCATGCCATCTCATCTTCCCTGCCATAATATCATTCTTCTAGTTACTCATTTTAATGCTGCTCCTAACTTTATGTTGTTGTTTTTCCATGTCTTTGTGCAGCTTTATTAAAATTGATTAAATTTTGTTTCCATCTAGGCAACTCATCCAGCCCTATTTGAAACAGATATTCCTGCTTCTGTTCCAAAGGTTAAGTAACTCAAAGACTACAAAGTTTGTGAAAAGTAAGTATATCTTTGAAATAGAGATTGTAACTGGGGCAAAGATAGCATTTCACTGGATGAGTATTTTATGCAAAATATATCTTCACTGAAATTTACAGGAGCTGTGTCAGTAAAACAAATGAACAGCCCTGTGTTGTGCAAACAGAAAGAGCACGCTGTAAATGTCTTTGAAGTAGAGGTTGTATGTTTATACTGATTCTGTCTTTACACCTGTGTGTTACTGGAGCAAAGGCAGCATTTTGTTGGATGAAGAATATTCTGTGCAATATATCTTTACTGAAATTAGCAGAAGCTGTGACAGTTAAAAATGAATAATCCTGTGCTTTGCAAACAAAAAGAGCTTGCAGTAAATGTCAAACTTCCAAGGTAGCCATATGGCTATCTTGAATCTCCAGTTGTATGGTGTACAGCAGGGCTATTTGAATAAGTTTATCCAGGGGGGCCAACATTTTTAAAAATGGGTATCCTTACGGGCCAGAGGTCTGAGTACCAACATAGAAAGATCATTAACACAATATGTCTGCCAATAATCGGCAGGCCACTTGCTAGGCCTCTGCGGGCCAGATTTTGGCCACGGGCCACCAGTCTAATAGCCCTGATGTACAGTATAGCTAGAGAAGATAATGTGATTTTGTTATTGTCGTTGTTGAGTGTTGTCATACATAGTTTGAAGACTTAGCCATTAAAAGATTAGAAAATACACTTCGATATATATCTTTTTCTTTTTAGTATTCACCAGCTGTAAACTCTGGCGGAAAGTTCTGGTTGTTCATCCACTTCTGGACTGCAGTCCTGTTCCAGAACCTGAGTTGCGCGTGCATCCGTTTTACAGACCTGACTTATTTGTATGCAGACTGCTGGTTCCTTGCCTCAGGCAGATGCACTCCTACTTCAAAAGAAGCTCCCTATTAGTCGACTCTTCCGACATGCTTTTTAGGTAGGCAGTGGGTCTATTCTTGTTTTCCCTATAACAGGGCCCCGGAAGCCACACGGGGAAGCATCGATATATATAAAATGATATGTATGGCACAAAATGCGTTACTTACAATAAATCGGAAAAAGCAGAAGTAGAATAACTCATCATGCTTACGTACCTTTCTTCAGGTTTATTGGTGTTTTTCTGCCTGTATGCTGTCAAATTCGGTCCAGCATCTCTTATTGAGATGATCGATGGAATACAACCAAAGTAAGTTCATTTTGTCACTTTTTTCTTTTGTATTTTAAGATAATTTATTTTATAAAGATAACCACACAACAATGAGACTGCAGTGTCTCACAGAACTAACCGGGAAGGCTGATACTGGAAACAAATGCCTGCTGAAGATGGATGTGTCTCCTAAAAGGTGCAAATATCACAGCCATTTGTAAACAGGCACATACTCAAGTGAATGGATCTTTTGTCTCCTGCTTGAAACTATGTTAATGCAACTTGGGAGCTTCCTCCAGTTATTGCTCAAGAATGTGCAGCAAGAACTGCTGTGTGGATTGTTTTTACACAAGAGCAACACACAAACAAAAGAATACAACTTTCTCCCAATCACAGTAGAGGAATGAATGGAATGGGCCAAAAACATAGAGAGAGAAAAAAAAAATAGGAGACTTTCATTTAAAAAAAAATTTGTATTAAAATATTTATCTAAAAGATCTGATGTAAAAGCAAGAAGGTATCCAGTGCTACCCATTGAGCTTTGGAACTAAATTGTCCCCCCCCCCCCCCCCCCCCCCCCCCCCCTCCCCGACATTAAATGGTAAAAGTGGAAGATGCTAATTCAGGTTTGCTTTGTTTTGTTTACTCATTTATTTATACTTCACAGAATGTTTTTTTTATACTTCACATAATGCTTTTATTTATACTTCACAGAATGCTTTTATTTATACTTCACAGAGTGTTTTTATTTATACTTCACAGAATGTTTTATTTATACCTCAAGGGATGTTTTTATTTATACTTCACAGAATGTTTTTATTTATACTTCACGGGATGTTTTTATTTATACTTCACAGGATGTTTTTATTTATACTTCACAGAGTGTTTTTATTTATACTTCAAGGGATGTTTTTATTTATACTTCACAGGATGTTTTTATTTATACTTCACAGGATGTTTTTATTTTAACTTCACAGGATGTTTTCATTTATACTTCACGGGATGTTTTTATTTATACTTCACAGAATGTTTTTATTTATACTTCACAGAATGTTTTTATTTATACTTCACGGGATGTTTTTATTTATACTTCACAGAATGTTTACCATGGTTGTGGAACGGCTGTTCCTCCAAGACCTGCAGAAAGTGTCTGGCTCGACATCCAAAAAAATCTGTGCTGTTGGTGTTACGAAGATACTCACTGAAGTAGACACCATGTTGTCTGGAGATTACGCTGCTCTGTGGTAAGAATTTAATTTAAAAAAATTTCTGTTACAGAAACTTTGTCAGTTATTTACAGATTCCCACTATTGCTTAAGGGGATTTGTAGCCATATTTTCTCCCGCTTTTTCCTCTCGAAAGGGTAGTTGATGTTGTTGTGTTTTATAACTAGGGTGCAATATCTTCCTTTTGGGCTAACAATTTAGCCACCCTTCAACTTACTTACCCTTTATGTGGGGGGGGGGGGGGGGGGGGGGGGGGGTGTTGATCTATTTTTTTTCTCTCTCCACAAAATGGGTGCTTCCAAAATCTCACTGGTAGTCATGTGTTCAGACCCAGGCTAAAAAAGATGCAAGGAAATGTCCTTGGAAGTAAAGGAGGTCTTATGTTTACCACATCACACACTGAGTACTTATTGGTCTATAAAAGTGTGTTTTGCACCATACAGCAAATTCACCGGTGTTGTGGAAACTACATTAATTTTTTTTTAAATTCAATTATACATTGTGAATCAGGCCATGTATCTGGGAAATGAACCTACAACCCTTTGAGCTTGAGGCAAATGGCTTTACTATGCAACAAAAACCTTCAGGCATCAAGACTTTTTTTTTTTTTTGGTTAAGCAAAACACCATTATTCCACACATACGTGATACAATCAGCAAGTATATGGGCCTAACTTTTTATTGGCTCTACACCAGGGATATTCAACTTTCAGCCCACAAATACCTAGCAAGTGGTCCTCGGATCATTGCTGATTGTGTCGTACTGATGATCTTTAATAAACTGGGGCTCAGACTTGTGGCCTGTGGCGATATCCATTTTTAACATTGTTTGCCCTTCCCTGTGTGGTTTCTGGGGCCCCATTGTGGGAAGAACAAGAATAGACCCACTGCCTGCTCAAAGGCATGTCGTAGGAGTTGACTAATTGGGAGCTTCCTTCAAAGTCGAGGTACATCTGCCTGAGAGGCAAGGAACGAACAGTCTGCATGCAAATTAGTTAGACCTCTGAAACAGATGTGCACATAACACTGTTTCTAGAACAGGACTAGAGTCCAGAAGTGGACGAGCAACCAAAAATTTCTGCCAGAGTTGGCAGCTGGTGAACGCAAAGAAGAAGAAGAAGATTGTTTGCCCTGGAGTGAATTTAGTTCAATAGCCCTGCTGTAAACACTGATATCCTGTACTTTGCTGTATATCAATAGGCCTGCTGTAAACACTGATATCCTGTACTTTGCTGTATATCAATAGGCCTGCTGTAAACGCTGATATCCTGTACTTTGCTGTATATCAATAGGCCTGCTGTAAACACTGATATCCTGTACTTTGCTGTATATCAATAGGCCTGCTGTAAACGCTGATATCCTGTACTTTGCTGTATATCAATAGGCCACGTCTGCTGCAAGCTCTGATTGGCTTGTTTGAGTTACCAGAGGATGATACTCTTCCAGATGATGAACATTTCATTGAAATAGAGGATACCCCCGGTGAGTTTCCGTCGGTTGTTGTTGCTTGTAGTTAAGAACACGCAGGCTGCAAGCTCTGATTGGCTTGTTTGAGTTACCAGAGGATGATACTCTTCCAGATGATGAACATTTCATTGAAATAGAGGATACCCCCGGTGAGTTTCTGTCGGTTGTTGTTGCTTGTAGTTAAGAACACGCAGAGTGTTGACTCCATGTATGGGAGAGAACTAAGCAAGCTCCAGTGGACCAAGAGGTGAAGAAAAAATGCTGGCGTTGGATAGGACACACATTGAGAAAACGGGAGAACAATATAACTAGAATGTCTTTTTGCATTGGAACCCACAGGGGCATAGGAATAAAGGAAGGCCAACCAAAAAACACATGGAGAAGGGAGCTGGAGAATGCAATAGCAAAGGATAGAATGACGGCGTGAGTTGGTTGAGGGCCTATGCTCCATTGGGGGCTGGAAAGGAAGAAGAAAAAATGTGTTGACTGGAGATTTTGGGACTGATGACACTAACGATTCTTGATTTTATGTTTTCTTGTTTAAAATAATATCCTTGTCTTTTTATTCCTGTGCTGATGAAGACTTTCTAGATGCATTGCTCGTAATGATGGTAATGCAAAGTTGACTAGTTCTACTTCTAGTTTGGATTTTTTTTTTTTTTTTTTTTTTTTTTTTTTTTAGCATTCTCTAGTCGTAACTGCAGCAGAAAGTTCTGGTTGTGTGTCTACTTTGTGTCTACTTTTGGATTTTGTTTCAGAACCTGAGTTTTGCTCGCACATCTATTTTACAAATCTTTTTTTTTTAAAGAATGATTACCATTTGGCTGCAATACCATCCAGCATTATCCCTCTCATCATCATCAGGCGTGGGCGATCATGCCTCTCCATAATCTGTGATCTCCTGCAGCATGTATCAGTTCGTGTGCCGACACACCTCCATGCCATGCAACAAGACTGTCAAGCATCTTCTCTCGTTGTCTTCCTCTATCCCTCCTTCCACATATCTTTCCAGTGGTCACAACATGTTCTATTTTCCCTCTTCTCATAACATAGCCGAAAAATGATGACTGTCTTCCTTCTGATGTCTGTGATAAGTTGTCTTCAGGCTCCCGCCTCTTTCAAAACCTCTTGGTTGCTCTTTTTGGCTGTCCAAGGTATTCTAAGCATTCTTCTGTAAAACCACATCTCTGAGGCCTCTAATATCCCTCACTACAGATGCCAAAAACTGCCTTTTTGTTTTTACCACTTATGCTGTGTTGGGGAATTACGGCCACATGGCTAGTGCTGCCGCCACGACTGCAGTGAGGATTTTTTTTGCCACTGACAAGAAAATCCCCAGCCTTACCGAGGATTCGGACCTTAGTCTCCTGCTTGAGAGGTGTTCGGCCAGCTGCTCGTCTCACTACATGTAGGGAGCAGAAAACAGAATGTCTTTGTAGAGCTGCCAGAGTAAGATAATTTTCAATAAACAGTTGGAGGCAAGAAATGAAACTAGTCATACCATACATTTTAAAAAAAGTGGTTTAGCTAATGGAGAAGAATAATCTGGTGCCACCTACAACAGAACCTCATTGAAGACATGTTGGCCCAGAGCAAGACACTACAGAAAGAGATGTGTCAGCATCAAGAAAAATCTTAGAAAAATGAAGGCGGACTTAGAAAGGGCACACACAAGATTTTTACACCTCCCCCGACACTATGTAGTAAAAATGTCTTTTTTATTTTTTTTTTTTTTTCAGGCTACCAGACATCCTACTCACAGTTGGCTTATGCTGGAAAGCAAGACCATGATCCTTTAGCCGGACTTGCAGATGACCCAAAGCTAACTCTGGCAAAGCATCTGGAGAAATTGGCTGTTCGTCATCCAGGCATGGTATGTTTTTAGCACAAATCTTGTGCAGGGATTTCACTTTAGTTGTCAGCTCTAGCATGCCCTTTTTTTAGTAATGAATCTAGATCAGAATGCGCCCAGTTGAAGAACGAAAGAGAGAAAGCCGCAAAGAAACCAAATGTCAGCAGGGCCAACAAGAGCACAGTCACCGAAGCGGTAAAGACGAGGCACCAGGCACAAATGACAGATCTCAATATAAGCGAAGATTGAAACAATGAAACAGCTACCAGGCAAACAAAGATGATACCACAACCAGTGAGAAAATCAAGAAAGCAGCAACCGATGGGGCAATGTGCGATGCCGACCTTCAAGCAATGCCTTAAGACTTTAAAACAAGCAAGTGCACCCGCACAAGCTGAGGATGGAAGAAGACGGCAGCCGCTTTGCCATCACCTACGACTGGGAGGAGCTAGAGAAGAAAGACCTAACACCTGAGGAAACAGAAAAGCGCCAAAAACTTGAATGATTTTACAATGATGCTAATGTGTATGCCATGAAAGGTTAGAACAATAATTCTGGCTAGACTTCTTCAACATTCGGCTGTGAATCCTGGACAGTAAACAGGCTAGACAATTTCTTGAGGCTTTAGAGATGTGGTTGTTTTCTTCTGCCTTTCTAACCCCCAACTGAGCATAAGCCCTCAGACAACACGCTAATTCATTCTATCCTTTGCTATCATGCCATGCAACAAGACTGTCGAGCATCTTCTCTCGTTGTCTTCCTCTATCCCTCCTTCCACAGATCTTTCCAGTGGTCACAACATGTTCAATTTTTCATTCTATCCTTTGCTATCACATGTCATCCCCATCTTTTTAAATTCACTCTCCAGCTCTTTTCTCTGTGTTTTGTTTGTCTTCTTTTATTCCTATGCTCCTGTGGGGTCCAGTGCAAAAACATTCTAGTTATATTGTTGTCAGGTTTTCTCAACGTGTATCCTATCAAATTCCAGTTTTTTGTCTTTACTTCTTGGGCTACTGGAACTTGTTTAGTTTTCTGATGTGGCTTCACAGAACATAAATTTAAAATAAAAATGTAACCTAAATATTTTTAAAATTTCCTGTCTTTATGACGGCTTGCAAACATCAGGGAGACAGTAGAGAAACTGGAACATGTTGTGACAGATGGAAACAGAGGAAGGTGATGTGAGAAGATTCTTGAAACATTTTGTCAACACCTGAGCTGATAAATGATCTTAGAGATTGTAGGTTGTGGAGAGGCATGATTGCCTATGCAAGTTGCAAGGCACTTGATTGTGATGAATGTATGGTTTTTGGTAACTACTAGTTTTTTTATTGTTCTTTTTTTTTATTTTTAACAGTAGGCTGGCTTTTTATCCTTTAAATATTGTTTTCTTTCTCAACAGCTTCAGCCACTGATCAGCTCCGGGATGGAACCGGAGGCCCGGAACTTTCTCCAGCAGTACTGTCAGTCTGCAAATGTGACTCTCGCCTGAATCATCCTTTGGGCTAAAAGATCAAGAAGGGCATTTATTCACTGCAGACAGTTTTGAGGAAAAGCAGTCTGCAGTCAGCATTGCAAGCTTTATATGTATCTGACTGTTGGTGCATCAGAGTTGCCTGTTAATCTCTCCACACAATACACAGCAATTCCCAACTATGTTTTTGTGGTAACTTTCGTATGGGTAGTGATTCTAACAGCTAGATCATGTACATACATATATATTATATAAAAGTTATATACTGTATGGCTGAAGTATCTGGAATCAGTCACATAAAAATCATAAATGCTTTACCTTCAAAGTGGCAGTATACAATTTAACCACTTAGAAAATCTAGATTTCTTTAGTATGTTCTGACCAAATGTTTAAAAGCAAGCACATTACTCAGTAGAGGTAAATCAGTAGGTAAATTCATTCACACATTCTGCCTTGCTTTGTTCTTGTCAAAATATCTCATAAGTATTCCAGCTGCCATCCTTTGATCACACAATGAGAATTTCATTACAGGACACAAATTCTGTAGGAAACAAGTAACGGTCTCTTTTCACACCTTTCGGCGCATTGGGCATATGGGAAGACTATCGGCACTAGGTGGGTAATGTGGTCAGCATTACGCCGGCCGTCTTTACTTCCCCAGGTCAGCCATCCTGGTACCCATTTTAGGCTGGGTCGACCTGCCACGCCCCATACCATGATGAAAATCCATGCAGCTAGGAGTGGGTTTCAATCGCGGTACATTGGAAATACAACTCGGACTCACAACACCTAAGCCACGGGCCCGGCGTAACAAACAATGCGAAGATCCAAATGTAGAGTGGGTATACCAGACATGTTGTAAGTTTACATTTGTGTGTGAGTTTTATGTATTTAGAACTTTGAATGGAAGGTGGGCTATTTTATCTGCTCTTCTCAATTCCCAAGTGATTTTTAATGGATTCACCTTTTCTTATAATTTGGCCTTTGTCAGAAAGACTAGACATTTGATACACTACCTCATGATTACAGTGGAAGTATACAAGCTTTTCTCATGGAAAAATCTATACCATGGATATACTTCCTCCTTTATATGTGCAGCTGCAAATTCTGGAAGGTAATTTTGGTGGTTTGTCCACAGATAGACTTAAGTCTTGTTACAAAACTTGAGTGGTGCATGCGCATGCGTTTTACAGATCTGCTTTATTTGTGTGCAGACTGTTAGTACCTTGCCTCTCAGGCAGATGCACTCTTGACTTCTCTAGCTTGTTAGGGAGGCAGTTGGTCTGTTCTTGTTTGTCCCCATCATGAGGCCCCAGAACTGACACAGGGATCATGGATATACAGCCATAAAGCATAACTTTCAGCTACTTCACCTCAAAGATCTCATTTCTGCCACGAGATAAATAGTTTGTTAATTGGGTATATATATCAATATTACATGTCGCTATGTAAAACTATTGAAATTGTACGAGAAAACTAACTATAGTTAATCAAATGTGTATACTGGGTGCTGTTATTTGTTTACAGGACATGCTGTTTGTTGTACATAGATTTATGACGTTTGTATATTTAAACCAATCAATTTTATATGAATATGTTGTTTGTTAATGTCACGGTAGTTTATGCAGTTTTTTTTTTTTTTTTTTTTTAAATTATAGGCTGGTCATCTTTGGAAGTTGGCATAGGCTTTGTGAAGGCGTTTTGTAATTTAAGGGTTCCTAGTTCCATCCCAGCTATGGGCGATTTGGCAGCAGACTGCCTTGCATTGGTTTCAACAGAGGCATCAAGAGCTAAGTGAAACCACAAAACAAAACCTTCGTTGGTTTATTATTTGGACCCTTGCATAGTGCTGCACCCCTTTTGGCTTGCTGTTGGGCATAGTTGCCAGTTCAGTCAGTACATCTTTGAATTTCTCATTTTTGTGAATAACATAAGGTTTATTAAAAGCACATGCATACAGAATCTTTGACAATTAGATTCAGAGGGTACATTCGTGTGTTTGCAAATGTTGCTGCTTGTGAAAAAGTGTTTTGTTACTGTAGGTTTGGCCTCATGTGGAAAAAGTTATAATAAAATAGTCTTGTTGGTTGTTGAATGCACTTTATTTTTTTTGTTAAACATTTATTTACATTTTTTTAAAATTTATTAGTTAAAATGTCGGCTCTGTGGCTAAGTCGATGCGAACGCTTCGTAATGCCGGGTTCGATCCCAGCTGCAGGCCCTGCTTTGGTTTCGACAGTGGTATCAAGAAAGCCGATTGTCCAGAAAGCAATGGCAAACCACTGGACGTAAATTTGCCTAGAAAAACCACAAAACAGCCAGGAATGTTGGATTTGGTTCTGCAACGTTCTGTAAAGGATACGCAACTAACCTTAGTTAAAATATTTAGCCCTAATAGGAGTGCTAGATGCCCACCTGCGGGTCGGAGGTTTGGGTCCTGGTAGAGCCGGACTTTTTTCTTCAAAAATGGCTTTAACTGCCAGCATTGAGTGGGTACCAGGTACAAGTCCTGGGTGGGAAGTAAGGGCAGCTGGCCTGATGCTGACCATATCACCCACCACCAAGTGCCAATCAGTCTAGAAAATATAGGTCTAGCCCTCATGCCTAAAGGCACGAAAACGGGTCTTTTACTTTAGCTGCTTTATGGAGCTGAAACATGAACTAAATAAACTACTAACATTCATGAACTAGTACTTGTGCAGTGTCTTGTTGCGTGGCATGGAGGTGTGTCGGCACACAAACTGATACATGCTGCAGGAGATCGTCGATTATGGAGAGGCATGATTCCCCCCTACGCCATTCGGCAAGGCACCTGATGATGATGATTGTGCAGAAGAGGGAAATAGACTGTGATATAATCACTAATGTAGAGATTTGGGGAAGAGCATTAGAATTCTAGTGACTAAAGAGGAGAGGGAAAAAAAGGACACATTGAGGGGAAACCTAATGGCACCATAAAGGTCCCTTTCCTGCTATTGGTGCATGAGGCTAGGCTTGTATTTGTACAGGTCAATCGGCCCTTAGTGAGTGATGATGTCAACATCTTTTCGGCTGCCTGTACTTCTGCGTTCGACATCAGTCATGCTACACATTGAGTCCTGTCTGGGTCAAAAATAGGATTGTGCGTTTAAGGTCGCCACCGGTCACCCATAGCTTCTCTCGCAATGTGGATCCCCTGGGCCAGATCCACAGTCTTTGCTGGGAGAGGTTAGAGCAGTATGTGCTCAGGGGTCTGTCTTTCTGCTCCACAATCACAGGCAGCAGATTCTTTTATGCCTATCCTGTACACAATTGATGTTTGTTCTTTCCTGTTGAGTTTATTTATGCTGTCACTCTCTGGTCTGTAATCTCTATTTTGCTTTCTCCACTCCCGCTTGAAAGACTGCTTTAGTGCTGTTTTGGTTTCCTTGTAGCTGTGTGGTGGATGAGGTTGTGGAAGATTACTCCCAGCTTTTGCCAACTCATCTGCCTTGAATACCACAGTGGGCTGGTATCCACTGTCGGCTGCCTGTACTTTCCAGGACTTCAGCTGGTATCTGTTTAAGGATTGATTGACCTGGAAGCCAAGGTCACGTTAAAAGAATGTAGACACTGCAGATCTTTTGAGCCATGACCTTTGGAGCCGCAGGCGAGCATTTATGTCCTTGCATAGGAATAGGAACTCACGGAAATAAAAACTTCCTTCTTCGCTCATAAAGAACATATCACGTCTAGTTTGAGAATGGAGGTGGAGACAGTCACTGCTGCCTTTCGTTAACTTGAGAATCAGCTGTACACACATGTCGTCATTGTAACTGACTCTCAGAGCATGCTGAGAAAGGTAGAGACGGGCATGCTCCGTGCAGAGTGGCAATCAGAGGTCCCGGGTAGTTAGCATCCTTTGGATATTTTCTCCAGGGTACGCCGGTGTGTTGGGAAATGAGCAGGCAGATAGACTGACCGGTTCTGCACCACTTGGTGGTGAACTGATATATAACAAGCTGATTGTTGCTAGGGCCCTTTGGGAGCGAGTGAACAATGCAGAGGAACAGATAGATCATTATGGTCTGAGAATGGCCCTGCGAGGAGTTACAAGGGGAGCTGGCCGACGCTCGGGGGAGGGCGAGACGGATATACAATCAGACTGTTACGGGTACCATTGGAATTTTAACTTTTCACTTGCTGCTGAAGATGGGGATGGAGTGCTTATGGGAGTGTCCCGAGTGTTGTGATGTCAATTCTTTATTCAAAATTCATAAAGAAGAGAAGCAGATAGTAACGTAAAAAATACAGGACATCCGGTGAGTTACCAAGTTTTATAAACAATAAGAAATCTTAAGATTTTGACCAAAGGCTTTTTTATCACTGTGTACCACAAGAAGAGTCCTTCTAGACGCCAGCCCTCACATGAATAACTATTCTAATTATAGTTTTCTTCTTGTGCTCATTGAAAAAGACTTAGGTCAAAATGTTTGGTTGTTTATGTGCATGGAGGCAGGTGTTTTCTGCAGCTATGAGCCTCGGAATGCTGAAGAGAAAGAACAGACAGACAGTGTATTGATCAGCACTCATAGAAAAAAGTACAAATATAGGACACACTAGACAACATGAAAATCGAAAGTGATAGGTTTGTGCTGGGAATTATTTACATGAAGAGGAAGAAGTATGATGTGTTTTTGTAAGTGTTAAAATATCAGTTCTAAATAATCAATAATTTAAAACACAAAAAAACAGAGATTATAATTTATTCATAACATTCAAATCTAATTTTAAGTACAGTCATCATTTTAATTTGGCGTGTGGAACGGGAAATGATGTAGAGGCAGTCCAATAGCTGAACCAAGAGAATCTGAGAATCAAACAAAAGTCAACATTCAGGCAATGTATAACAGGTACATTTGTATCTAGTGTTAGTTAGCTGGGTTATCATCATTGTACTCCGGACATGTCATAGGTACTCAGATCCTCCCCTCAGTATGAACTGTAACGTCCAGTGGCTAATTGTACCAGTTCTATGTTGATTAACAAGTCGTCTATAG